CAGGTCAGTGGCCGCAGAGTCACACGGGACCCAAGGTCAGCAGGATCGTGGGAGGGCACACGGCTCCCAGGCTTGGCTGGCCACATGGGCAACCAGTCCCGCACATGAGACGCAGGACCCAGCGAGGCCAAGAGCCAAAGAGAGGACGCCCCTGTGTCTCTCGTAAGAGAACAACCAGCACCCCAAGGAGTCCTCACCAGGCCGGGCCTGATGGAGAGGTTAGCCTGCCCACAGGTGCCCTCCGGTTGGCAGAAAACCGCTACAGGCGCATAGACCTAAATGGAGGGTATGTGCAGAGATAATAGCTTCCCGTCTGGGTATTTTTGTGTAATAACATTTGCTGAGATTTCATAGCCATACTGTTTGGCTTTACCTCGTATTTCAGAGTCTCTAGTTCGATGGCTGCAGTGGTCACATACGCACGTGACAGTGGACACAGGATCAGGAAGACGGAAGAGGAGCCGAGGCACTGGAGTGACGGTGCTGGCCAAGAACACTGACAGTCCCAGGACGGACGGACGGCCAGAAGAACGAGCACATCCGTCCTAGGAGAAGCACAGCCAGAGTGCTCCTGAGAGCGAGGACGGTGAGCCTTCGTCTCACGACTGTGGGCACGTTCTCAGGAGAGACCAACCAGTCCCTGGGAAAGGACATCCTGCTGGGTAAAGTGGAAGGACAGCAAAAAAGAGGGAAACCGTCAAGGGGAATGATTGACCCTGAGACTGAATCAACGGGCTCCAACATGACCACAGCGGTGAGGGGCGCAGGCCCAGGCAGTTGTTTGTTCAGTTGTACATGGGGTCCCCCGTGAGGTGGGACTGACTCGATGGCACCTGCCAACAGCAGTGTTAACTACGGTAGAGTACTTACCGACTGCGCCGACTATCTGTAGTAAGTCTCGCATCCTGGCCCTATGATGTCTCTCAAAATATTTTACATAATTCTCCTTTCGTTGCCCCTTCATACATATTTTAGACTCTGCTCGTCTGACTGGAATGGTGTATTGATCTCGGTGGACTAGAGAAACATCCAGCCAAGTCCAGATCAACTCCATAAGTCTGATATTAGCCCATATGCCCAATACCAGTCTATAAATTCCTCTTTAGACTCATGCAGCACATGCAATGACGCCAAATGCAGGAAGATCACAGGCCAGTGGATGGGAAGTCTTGTGGATCCAGTGGTGGTGGAAGCATTTCAACGTAGGTATGGGTCTCCACATGGCTCCTCCAGCTCTCTGTGTCTCCTCCACAGGAAGGTGAAGCAGAGAGTATGTCCTGCCTCCAGGGAGGAAGAGAGGAAATTCCCAGAATTCCCATGAGTAGATCACACACACAAGGAAGCATCAATCAGGCTATGGCCTGATTGAGAGACTAGACTCCACCCCCCTATAACCTATTTATCAAGTCAACATGAAATTATGTAGCTACCACAGATGAATTTGGAAAGAACTAAAATCTCTATAATGTTGAGACTCCCAATCCATGAACATGGTATGTCTCTCCAATTAAGTATTCTTTGATCTCTTTGTTAACGTTTTATAATTTTCAGCTTGCAAATCCTTGCCCGTCTTGTTAGATTTGCATCCGTTTGATTCCTGTGGGGTTATTATCTGCAGCGTATAGAAATACGACTGATTTTTTTTTGGTGTGCTGACTTTGCACCTGGTGCGCCTGCTAAACTCACTTACCATTTCTAAGACCTCGTCATGAGTCCGTTGGTGGTTTCTGGTCACCATCGTGTTGTCTGTGAACAGGCACCATGTTCTTTCGTTTCTTGCCGGAATGTGGGCTGTTGGCGTCTTGCACTGCTTGACCGCGAGGAACGGGCCACCCCACGATGGCGTTGCTGAGAGTGGGTAGTTTCGCTTTGTCTCCAGCCCGGTAGGAAAGCATTCAGCAGCAGGCCTCTTTTCTCTTTGGTTCGGTTTATTTTTCGAGATGGCCCTCTGCTTCCTGTTTGCAGAGAGGTTGCGATCATAAATGGATATTGAATGTTGTTCATTTTTTTTCTGCAGTTAATTGATAATACAAGTAGTTGATTCTTCCCTCCATTAACCTGTTAATACAGAGGATAATTACTTAGTCATCTCCTAAGAAACATTGTCTTTGGAGCAGCTTTAAGTACACAGAAAAAAATTCCCTGGTATTAACATCATACCTAGGATAGATCTGCCCTGAAGTAAGCTCCACCTTTGGATTTCTTTGGTTGGTAACTCATCTCCATTTTCCGTCCCTGGTTCCCCTCCAGGGCCTCACGTCACCTGTTGTCACCAAGTCTCCAAAGGCCCCTCTTGGCTGGGGCAGTCTCTCCAGGCTCCCGGTTTTTGATGACCTGGGCACTTTTACGGAGTACTGGTCAGGAGGTTTGAAGAAGGCCCCTCTGTGGGGATGTGTCTGAGGTTTCTCTCATTACTGGACCGGGCTGGGGGAGGGAGGCTGCAGAGGTGAAGATCCGCTTTCATCACGTCTTGTCAGCGGCACGGACCGACATGATTTATCACCATGGGTGCTGACCCTGACCGCCAGGCTGAAGGCGTGCACACCAGCCGCCTCCAAGGGGACATCGCCGTCTTGCCTATTTTCTGTCCCGGCGTCTGTCCAGCGTGCTCTGAAGGAGGCCACTGCCTGAGTTGGAGCGCGCTCAGCCCACTCCCAGGTGTGAGGAGTTAGTCTCCTCTCCCTGCAGGGGAGACCCCTGCGGGCTCTCCGGGCGGGAGCTTTGGCTCCCTCCTCCTCCATGCATGTAGTTATTTGCTTATCACCGCGTGGGCCCAGGGGTGTTCTCTAGAAGGTTCTGTGGGAATCCAAGCCTGCTTTGTCCAGTTGCTCCACTGGTCGTTCTTGTCCGGGCCCGGCACCGGGGTTCCGAGTGGCTGTTGTTGAAGGCAGTCTCCTCCCGCCGCCCCCCTGCATCCCACCACTCTCAGATACTCCAGCCCATGTGGCACCTGTCTGAGCCAGTCCTCAAACCGGCAACAGGCCCAAGTGAATTCTAGGTCCTTCTGTTGGAGACAGTGGTACCCAAACCGTCAGCTGTGGGTGGCAGCACGCTTACACCGCTCCCGCGCTGTTGTGGCTCCTAGCCCTCTCGGCTGACAGAGAGCGCCTGTGTACTTACACACCTGTCAGTATGTCTACCTGGGGCCATCCGTACCTGCACGGAAATCAACATGAGTTCATCCTGATGAACTCCAACAGCGTGGTCTCCTCCTCCAGGTCCAGCATGGTCCCGCACAGCAGTGGGGACCCTGGCGCCCACAGCCATGTCCATCCCTTAGCTGTGCAGGCACAGCGGTGGCATCCGGCTTGTGGTCGGCACGCCGTGAGGAATGACTATCAGCTGGATCACAGTGCGCAGAGCCTGCCTCCTGCCTGTAGGCTTCGGACTGACTCACTTTCAGGGCTGCCAGGGCAGCCCTTCCACCTATGCCCCAGGAGGGGCTTCCTGCTTCTGTCATGGTCCTGGTATCCTTCCTTGGCATCCCCCAGCTGCACAAATATTCCATGTGTGTGTGTGTCTCCCAGTCACATGCATTAAAGGTCACTCTTGTGCTGAGAGGCTCCGAGGGCCTCTGGCAGATGCACCGTGCAGCAGGCTCACCCCTGCTTCGTCTTGCCTCTCCGTGGTGGGAGGAGTGTCCTGGAAACAGCCGTTACCCTGGTACCAGATGTTTGTGGTTCTGGGCTCTTGCTGAAAAGCTGGGCTGCACTTCTCAATGGCTCGGAGTCCAGGTCCCCGAGGAGGGCTGCCCCCGGCCCGGCCTCGCCCGCAGTCTGGGTGCAGCACCCTCCGTGTTAGTGCCAAGCAGCACCCCCGGGCTCCACACTGCGTTGCTTCCAACTTGTGCCTGGTCCCCTGCCTCCTCCTCCTCCATGGGGGCGGACCCACTGCCACCAGACCTCAGTGATTAGCAGGGTGATTTCAGACCCCTTCCGGAGGATGACTCGGTACACAGCGTGTTTGCCTATAGACGCCCACCCTACCCCCCAGCAGTCAGCCGGGGACACAGCACGTGTGCTAATGAACCTGGAGCCGTTGATGTGCTTCCTTTGGTTAAATTGATTCATGAATTTTGAAGAGAACATTATCTAATGAATTTTCTTTGAATAGAAGGCAATTAAAAGGACAAACCAGCCTGATTAACCCCAGAGTCACCCTCCTGCCACAAACGGTGTGCAGTTGGAAATTATATCATGGAAAACGGGGCCACATTGCCGCCTCCTGCCCTCCGCTAATCCGTGTAAATTAATGAACAACAGAGTTAATTTCTTTGATGACCCTCCTCTAGTTTCACCTGGATTATGCTGATGTTTAATTTGCTTAATGTTATAATAAAGACGAAACAGATTTTTCCTTCCCCCAGCGCAGCAATGATCAAGTGAGTTAGAGGGTTGGACTCACAGGGAAGGGCCTGGCGCCTCAGTGCCAAGTCTGCTCAGCCGCTGAGTACGGGTTGTGGACCCAGCCCTTGTAGACACACCCAGGGGCTACGGAGGCATGGCCTCTGCCGCTGCCACTGCCCCTCAGACACCCCTCGGTGCAGAGGCTGCTCCCCTGCTTCCTGATTCAGGTGTCCCCACTGGAAGGACTGCTGACACTCTCGCCTGGTAGACCCTGAGCTGCCCAGGAAGAGGCTCAGGGCCAGCAAGTGGGCAAGGGGCTGGTCTCTGGGCCACCATGTCCTTGTGGCAGCAGGGTGAACTTGAGTCAGAATGAGCCCACTTCCTGAGCCCCACCCCCACCCCATTCCCACTGGCACTCCCAGCTGTGGCTGGGGGTCCTGTAAGTTTTCCTGGGAGTGGGCAGCGGGGAGGGAGCCGCCTGTGTGGACTGGAGAGGGGAGGTGGAAGGTGGCACACGGGCTGGGTGGCCTTAAAGGGGCAGCCCCACCCAGCCAGCCCCACACTCCCTGCTCCCAGAAGGTTCTGTACTATGGGGAGCACAGTGTCAGCGGGGGACATGTCACTGAGCCCCACCCTCTATGTCCTCTCTTGCAGACTCCTTCGCCCGCCGGGTGCTGTGGAAGCTGCTGCAGGCTGTCCAGGTCGGGGAGGCTGTCTCCTACCAGCAGCTAGCGGCTCTGGTGGGCAGGCCCAAGGCCTCGAGGGCGGTGGGCAACGTCATGAAGAACAACCCCGTGAGTGCCTCCCAGGGTGCCCAGGCTGGGGGAGGGAAGAGACGGGGTGGGGGGGGCTGGGAGTGTCCAGGTGGTGACCTAGGTGGGGGCTGCACAGGAACTAGGGTGGCATCTGTGTAGGCAATGGGTGGGCCTCCAAGCTGAGATCGCAGGGGACTGTGTAGGACCTGGGGGGCTGTGGGGGCGCTGGTTGGGGATCTGGTCACACACAGCCACCCTTGTCGAGAATTCCTGGCCCATCCGGGCTGGGAAGGACCGTGGGCAGATGAGGAGGTTCAGTGTAAAGCCGCCCTGGTGTGGCCCCCCTCCCCCGGGGGCCTGCAGGCAGCATGGGCACGCGCTGGCTGGAAGCCCAGAGTTTGCTATCTCTGCGTGGGTGCCAAGGTCTCTGTGTGGCTCAAGCAGTTGGCACTAAAAGTTGGCGGTTCAAACCTGCTCGGCAGCACTGCCAAAGGGGGCACCCATGGGACACAGGAGTCAGAGCCACCTGATGGCACAGGTTTGGCTCGGGTTCCGCTGCCCCGGGTCTCTGTCTCCCACCAGAGTAAGGGTGGTTGGCGGGTGGGCCTCTCCACTCCATTTGTCGTCGTCGGGGCTGTGCAGCATGTCCAACATGCGTGAGACCAAGTCTCTCCAGCCTTTCTGGCTGTGCTTTTCCAAGGACTCCCTGACCTGTGTCAGGTACACAGCAGCCTTCTGGAAGGCTCTTTCCCACCAGTGAGCTGGCGAGAAGGGCCCCCTCCTAACAAGGCAGCCAGAACACCACCACCACCCGCTGCCCCTGGTCTTCCCCAGCACTGGACACCCCTCGGCGCCCTCCTCAGACAGAATCTGCTAAATACGGTTCACAGGCAATCAATACCTGGCGCCCGCATTTCCCCGCCTTCTTCCAAACGCACACATTCCTGAGCAGCTCATTCCTCCACGATCACCATGGGCGCTAATGACCCCGAGTCCTGTCCGGTCAGTCCCGGGGACGGCTGTTGATAAAGATTTAGTATCATGTTCTAAGTGGCAGGCTTGTCAGTGCTGCTGAACCATTTGACCAGAAGAAGAAAACGTGCAGGGAGCTATTGATTACAGCTTCTCAGTGTCACTTGCTCACCAGGATTTAGGTATTGATGAGGCAGCAAGTGAAAACAGGCGCTTTCCCCTGTGGGCCGCTTCCTAGCAGAACAAAGGCGGAGCTGGGCAGATATGCAGCCGGTACCAGGATCAGAGGGACCCCGTATTGATTGAAAGGCCCCTTCATGTTATTTTTGTTGGAGACAAATCTATGGGTTTGGAAGTTTTATCGCGTTTGAGAAGGGGCCAGAGTGAGTGATGGGTCCACGTATCAGGTGGATTAGACTTCACAGCATGAAGGTTTCAGTGTAGCTGTGATGAGATGAGCTTCTTGGTTATTGATAAAAATTCCATGTTATGCAGCTCGGGCTTTACGGAAGCGGCCACAGGGGCTGCCGCTCCTTTGGAATGTCCTGAGGGCCCCCAGGCATGAGTTTAATAGTCTGAACCCAGCCTCAGAAGCAATATGGGCGGGAGCAATGGTGCCCCTTTGTCCCGATGAAGACCCTGGTTGTCCACCACTATGCATGGCCAGTGTAGGCGGGGACAGCTGACACAGCCACTTGGTCCTATCGCCCCCACTCATCGTCTAGAAGTAAGGACGTGTGGGTGTGTGAGCCTGCGCTCGCACACAAGGGCGCTTCACAAAGTCCATGGGGAAATGGAATTGAGAGATAATGGAGTGGAACTGCAGAGAGATGTAATTTTTCCTTGAACTTCTTGAACCTCGTGTGTGTGTGTGTGTGTGTGTGTGTGTGTGTGTGTGTGTGTGTGTGTGTTCCAAGCAGCTGGATTCTATGAAGAAGAACTCAACATCGAGGTTGGAGGAAGCCTCACTAACAACCTCTGACAAGCCAGTGCCACCCTTGCTTGCCGAAAGCAAAGAGGGCTTGGAGCACGTCCTGATGAAGAGCGGAGGCGACAGCCAGGAGGCCACGTCCTGCTACGACGAACGTTCTCAACGACGTCATTTTGCTGGGATCCGCCACCAAACACCCATGAAAGCAACAGTCAAGAAACCAGGTGACTTACTGCCCTGGGCCGAGGTCTCACCTTGAGGACGAAGGCGCCTGACCCAAGCCATGACGGCTTCCGTGACTTCATCGGCGTCTGTGGAGATTGGAGAAGAATTGATGCCTTTGAATTGGTGAAGAATACGGGGCATACCATGGGCTGCTATCTTGGAAGCGGGATGGGTAGGATGCTCCTTAGATAGGAGAATGGCTGGACTTCCTGTGTCCTTGGGACCCGCTGTCGGGAGGGACGGTCCTTGGAGAAGACCTCACGCTTGGTCAAAGAGAAGGTCCACGAAACAAAGGAAGACCCTGTAGGAGATGATCGACAGAGCAAGCTCACACGTGAGCAGCGCTGAGGCTGGTGCACGGGTTGCTGTAAGCCCTGACTGTCTGGGCAGCACCTAACAGCCTCCACGAGCGGAATTCCCTCATCTCCAGTTCTACTTTTCCGTGAACTTCTGAGCTCCCTGCTGTGTGTGTTGGGGGGTGGGGAGGAAAGGAGGGCGAGGGATGATAGATAGGTTCTTATTACTTACTTTTTCATTTTGTAGTTTTTTGAGAGGACGGAAAAATCAAAGCTCAGTTGTGAAGTCGGCCACATGGGAAGATTGAGTCGGTGTCTCAATGTTGGTAAAACAATTGAATCAGATGTCTCCCTTATCAATCAAAAGTTTCAATAGTGCAATATCTAATAATGTCCCCACAACAATTATTAACAGGACTGTTGTATTTTATAACAATCCGCAGAAGAAATATTCTATTCTTAAAATGTCCTGTTACTGTGTCTAAGAAAATTTTGCTTCCATGCTAGTTGCAGGATTTGTTGGTACGATTACTTTTCAATCTGTGAGACTTAACCGTGAAAAGGAAACGCTGGTTCTTCACTTGATCTTAGCCAAAAGGCACAGAAGCAACGGAAAAGCTAGTTCTTCATCACCACCATCACCCCTGTCACCAGTACCACCACCACCACCAGTAAGATCA